TCTTTTTAGCTAATCCTTTATTGTTCACAGTTATTTGATAAAGCAAAGTTGCTTCGATACTTGGCGCCGTAGTTTTTTTTCCTGCTAAAATAAAAGTGATAATTGAAAGTGTTATGATGGTGATAACAGTCGAGTGAGGCCAAGTCAAGTTTAAAAGAATATGTTTACATTCGCTTATTTTTATTACTGACCACAATACTTACTTTCAATTTTTTTTCAACAGGGAAGATACATCATTGAACGTTCTTTTAACTGCTCCCGAAAAGTTTAGGAAGTCCTCATTTAAGTGATTATATAAACTGAATTATCTGAAAGGATGTAACCTGCACTTTTTACTGCATATTGCTTGCATTCTTTCTATTTAGATCGTTCATGAATGTAACAGCAGTTAAATTACATACTGGAATTGTTCTCACAGAAGATATACACAATAATTTAAAAACTTGAAAACTTAATTTGCTCTCCGATGAATGGCATCAATGTAATGGCCATTTCAGTTAGTCTGAGCATTTTGACCATTTGAATCAATGTTCTCTATTCAAAAAGTTTGCGACATACATGCCATAAAATACTATTAAAAAGTTGCATCTCTCTTACGAGTCAAATATATAATAATTTGTTAGAAAAACGCTTTTAGGTAAAAATTTAGGAGCTTATTTTCGTTTTAATTTACAATAAACCTTGAACAGTCATTATTGTGAAACATTTCTTTAATTTATATAAAAAAAGGGTGAAAATTAGTCAAAAAGAAAGATATAACTTTAGATGCTAATAACTTTAGAAATTTTCATTAGAAAAATATCATTTATCCCCGCAATATCAACACTGAATTGATTTGATATCTTGAATCTGATGATATCAGATTATCACCAGTATTTTTTGAAACTTACATTTATTTTCATTATTGGTGAAACTTCATTTCTACCTTTTATTTGATTCGATTGCGTTTTGTTATAATAGCAGAATCGCCGCATGCATTTGAATCGATATCATTCACGTCTCCACTTACGTCTCATGTTCAATTTGCAATTTCCGCATTGAAGAAATGGAGGTGTTGACATCCGCTGCCACATGGCGATTGCCCATTTGGATTGCATCTCACTTGCGCTTGCAGTTGCAGCATGTTCTAGCATGATAAACTGTTGAATGAAATTTCAGATATTTCGACGTATGACTAAACGTCGTTGTCTAATAATTCATTTCTCAAACAAAACAACACATTCTTTTATTTACCGCAAACTAAAAAAAGGCATTAAAAAAGTGAAATTTTCCTCAAAAATTTTCTACAATTAGCTCGTAGCCAGTTATTAAGCTTCTCTTTTCATTAATGCTTCAAAAAGTTTTGCAACGCTAACAGTCAAGAAGTGTAGCCCTTTCCTTCACTTATGCAAAGGTCGGAGTGGCAGAACTGCAGGGGAAAAAGCTGAGAAATTACCAGAATGATTTCATGATATCATCGAGGAAGAACTAAAAAATTACCAAAATGGTCTCATCACTTCACAATTCTAAAATACTAACCTAATCATTAAATCCAGCTGTCAAGCAATTAGCTTTCAGATGATTTTAATGAAAATTAATAAATACCATTGTTAAATTATGTAGTACCGAGAATTCAACTCAATTTATTAATTAGAAAAATGAGACAGTTCCACGGTTCACAACCTAATACACGCAAGGTTTCCCGGATCTTTTGTTATGATTATACGATCCCAAAAGAGTGTGCGTAACGCATTTTCGGCGTAATTGATGCCACTGTCACAATCATCATCACTGTTGTAATTGTTCTTAACAGCACGAAATGAACTTTCATATTGAATATCATGAAATCTACGAAACATTCTTTGCTCCTTTATACACACACATACACACATACACACATACACACACA